CAACAAACTCACTCTGGTCCCTTCAACGATCGATCGAATCGTTCGCTCGGCAACTGCATTGCTCTGGGATATATAATCCTTCGAAGTAACATGTCGCCACTGAAGTGTGCGTGCGGCACTGATAAGTTCTGGGGCATTGTCGGAGTAAAAGATCTTCACAATTGCTTCGTCAAGAACAAAATGTTTGAAGGAGTTGATGGTAGATTCCGCATCTTTTCGTGCAGAAGGGTAAACATATGTGAACCCTGAATACACATCTTTCAGCACAAGACCAATACCTTCGTCCTCATCACCAGCTTCCTCACCCTTGGCGGTGATAAGGAAGTCCCCAGTAACATGATCACCAAAAGCTTTAGCCTCGATCTGACGGGAACCGCCCCTGGCTCTTGAGGGATACTTGATCACTTTTGCCTTACGACAAACATCACAAAATTCATTCTTGGGTATGTGAGTCATCAGATGGGCAATCGAATTAGCTTCCCTCTTCAGCAAGGCTTCCCCCCGCCCGCGTTCTGCCACCAAGGGTCCTGGTACCTGATCGTCCAGGGCATCATCACTAGGGTTAGAATCATCCGTTGGCGGCTCGACCTTCCGGTCAGCGGCGCTGGGCGGCTCAGCCTTCCGGCTGGCTTCTTCTTCGTCTCTCCTACTCACATCATCATCCCCCCCCGCATCATCTGAGCCCTTTGCGACTTCAGCAGGTAGGGCCAGCGGAGTGGTAGTAGACGAGGATGTAGAAGATGGACTTTCCGATGAAGAAGAAGCTTCAGCACGAATCCCAGCGTCGACGATCGGACGTGAACGCGACTTGCAAGGCATGGCTTTCTTGATCTTGGATGGGACGTACGGTACATAATCTCGTACAGTTAACTTAATTCGAACACCATCGGGCTTTTGAAAGTATGGTTCCTTGCCGGCTCTCCAAACAAAGTCATAACCTTCGTCCATGCACTTGACACCGACGGACATCACAGGTGGGGTGGACTCGAGCAAATATGGTGTGAAATTGCACCCTAATGTCTCGTTCCTCACCTTTCCCTGCAGGTATGACGAACTCTCTCCATTAGCAGTGATAATGGAGATCGGTTGATTGGAGAAAAACTGATATCTGTCCGGAATGTCATACTTGGTTGCAAGGTCCTGAGCACTTCCGGTATCGGCAATCCTGCTCCACCTGCTGCTCAGATGCTGCTGGTGTGGCATACAGTGTCTTTGGGATGCAATGGTCACAACCTATGGTGGACTTGCACATGTAACGACACTTCGCATTAAACCCTTGCAACTCATTCTGCACTGCTCCGGCGAGCATTTTGGCCGACAGGAGTGAATCTTCAATGGCCGATGGGTTTGGACTCATAGCGAATTCGATGGGATAGAACTTCGATGGACTCTTCCTCTCCACCTCGTATGGGAACAGACTTCCGGATGTATGATATTCGGTGACGGTCGGCTTAGACTCGAATTTCACCCTGATCTTGGCTGGACAAGCAATGCTCGGCCAACCGTTCCCGGTGGCAAGTCCTTCAACAGATGATGCAAGCATGGACGCAACCAGACCAACTGCGGCAGGCGTAACCCTGGGGGATGAACGGTTTGAACCTCCGGAACCCTTGGATCCCTTCGACTTCCGAGAACCATCGGAACCGGATCGGCGACCGCTCTTGTCCCGCTTGCCCCTCTTGTCCTTCTTCCGCTTATCCTTCTTATCGCTTCCGCGAGAACTGCGGGATCCTGATCTGGCAGGAGTGGCCTTGCGGGGCTTTTGCTTGCCTGCGTGGGAGAATTCACCATCACTTCCCCGTTTGCATCGTCCGGCTTTCCAGTACTTACATGTGATCTTGGACTTGTCTTTACCCTCACGACTGGTGGAGCGACCTCTACTTGGTTTTCGAGTCTTCTTTGGAGGAGTCTCACGCTTGTACGTGCAGTTCTCTTTGGTGCAACTGCCCTTGTTCCATGCGACACAGTATCCCTTTGGGATGAACGGAGTTTTCTTCCGATCGTCGTCGACTGCTGGAGTGGACGGTTTCGGACCTCCAAGGCTGTTGTGGATCCGATCTCGGTTCGACTCGAGCCTTTCCCTCCGGAGATACCTTTGTACAGCATCAACAAGGTATTTGTAGGAAATGATTCTCAGTTCCTTCCTCAGCCCGATTATAGATTTCAATATCATGCTGTATGGCCCGCGCATTCTTGACTTGTTCATAGAACAGGGTTTCCAAAACTGATGAATCCGGCGGGTGTGTGATGCCGGCATTCACGGTATCCCAGTTCGAAATGAAGGTTCTCAAGTTTTCACCCTTGAGCTTCACAGCAAACAAATCTTTCAATGAGTACGTGGCTCCATGCTTGATATTTGTGCTGAAGAAATCATCCATCATCAATAGAACTTGTCGTCCTCTCACAGGGCGGTCGGCAGCTGATTCTTTCTCTTTGAAGGTGTTGACCTTTCTAGCAAACTCACCTGAACAGATGTTGGACAGTGCTGACAACAATTTTGCATCTAGGGTCGTGAATCCCTCCGGGTCAACCAAGTCTGCAGTCGCTGTCCCCTCCTTCCACGACGATCACGATGAGGGAAATCTCTCGGGCCGTGATTTGTTGAATGCCCTCAAACAACTTCTCAAGGGGAAAAAGAAGAGCTCCGAGAATAATGCCAAGGAAGCGGATCATCATCATCATCCCCGTCCCCGTCGTCATCGTCCCCAGGCTCGTCAGGCGGGCCTCCTCCACAGACATTTGCTTTCTTCGGACTCGGCCGAAGGTTCCCCTTGGCTTCATCTCCCTTTGGAGGACCGTTACCACCTTCTGGCTGAGGTGGTGGGGGATCACCTCCGGGCGCTCCATTTGGAGCCTTACCGGTCTGATCACTGGTTCCCAGTGGCAATGGTGGAATCACACCTTCGCCTGACCTCATGGAGTTCAATGGTGAACCAAACAGGGATTCCTCAGTGGGTTCATTTTTCTGAACCGGAGTGCCCTTTGGTTCTTGTTTGACGGTTTGCCTAAGCATAGCCGGGTTGGGGATGGATGGAGAGTAATCTCGGGTCTGAAGTTCATCGTTGCCCCCTGCAGGAATCATTGGGAGACCCCTTGGACCCAAAACGGCTGGACCTTCCGGCGCGCGAACGGCGGACCAAGAACTGAACAGATCGTTCTGGAGTCTGGCATCTCGAAGAGCACTCAGTTGGCTTTGGAGATCAATTTGCTTCTTCATGGATTCTCTCAACTCCAATTGAAGACTTTCTGTTTGCCGATTCTGGCGCTCAACATGATTGTTCAATGAATCAATTGTTGCCATGCATTTCTCAATAGCATGATCGCTACGAATACGTGCGTCTAACATCTGACTCTCATGGTGTTGTTTCACGGACCTCAACTCGGCCGCGGAAGCCTCGGCATAAGCTTCATAACCCCTTTGGGCAGCTTCAACAAAGGCAGTTGCTTCCTGTTTGACGACCGTGTTTTCATGAAACATTTGCTCAGCTTCATTCATAAACCTTAACCCCTGCATACGCATCTCGTCACGCTGGGCGCTCACAATGTTGAGCTGTTCACCTTGGATGTCCATGGCACGCCGGTGTCTTTCTTCGGCGACAGCCTCGATCAATCTTGCATCAGTTGTCGGGGCTTGGTGAACATGCAAGTGCTGATTCAACACATTTGTATTACTCATGTGAACCGGCACAGCGTTCCCGCTGGCACTCATGGAGGGAGGGTCATAGCGGGCAATGTCAGGCCCTAATGGCGTGTCCAAAAACCCAAACCCTTCCGGCACAAGCGCCGTGGAACTTGCAACCTCAGGCGTTGCATCACGTGCGGACATATTGTCCAGGTCCGACGACAAGTCAATGATCGCCGGATACCCTTGTCCTGCCATGGCTAGGAGCACGTGGTACGAGTGAGAAGACTTGGCGAGACCTACGGCTGATAACCTATTTCAAATAGGAAACAGCCAATAACAAACACCTTTTTCTTGAGCCAAATTACGCGCAGTAGGTACGATGTATATGTACAACAGCTGTGAAAAATAGAAACGCTGGCGATGGAAGTGCCTAGTTTTTGTGCTTCTGATCGAACAAACTCTAAGACTCTACCCACAAAGTCCCCACACGGGTCTCACAGGTCAGGCTGGCAATACCCAAAAACAAATGGATTTTTCCTCAATCAATATTGGAGTTCCTTTTGGTTCTACTGCAAAGGCGCAAACCTTTCAAAAAAGAAAGAGAGTTTCCCCTGGGTTTGCGAAAAGCTTTTCGTTGCCTGTAAAAGCCCTGCAGTTACACAAGCGCCAACTGCTATATATATTCTCCTTCAAATTGGGGAGTGGTCGTTGAGTGAGGGTCACCTTGTGCGTTCGGTGCGGGCACGATGGCACGGGCTCGGTGCACCTCAAATCGGTGAAGACTCTCCAAACTTTCGGAATCTGGTTCTGCCTGGCAATCACATCATCCCATCCCTATTAGGTTGGAGGCCATCCCACGCAGGGTCCAAGCATTGCACAAGTATATAATCTCACCAGCAGCATCACGTTCTGTTTGCTCCAAGCGGGCCAGCAGCGCTTGTTGCAGTAATACCGTGTCGCCGGGTAGCAAGCTACCACTATGGCTGAAGAACTCTGATAACCCAGCCGTCTTTCGCAAACTGATACCACTGATGGTTTGAGAGTTGGTGAGGAAATGTGCTATCCTGAAGGTATGATATATGTATAGTTTTTGTGGCATTGCAGGGAATGTCCCTATGAAAGGTTCATGAGTCATGAATGAATTGTCAAACATCCTGACGCTGTATCTGAAACCTCTCAGCAAAAACATGAATGCAGGTGTGTTCACCGAAAGCAATCAAAATCAGCACATCAACATGTAGGCTGCAGGGATCTGCAGGGTCTCCTTTACCTGCCGCTCCTGCACAGAACAAAATTAAGTAGATAGATAAGTAAAAAAACAAATAGATCTATATATATATATATGTAGGCACCAACAAAATTGTCGCAACAAATCTCCTGACCCTGAGCGAGCCAGGGCAGCACGGCCTGTGATACGCAAGCTATGGCAGGCAACAGCCTTTCAAGTAGCAGTACTTTTGCTTGCAGTCCATCCAAGCAGGGCCTTCACCATCTTCGCTTGAACCAGAATTGGAACCAACTCCAGTCCCTAGCAAGGATCTGGGACAACCACTTCATGAGTTCACTCTCACAACATCCGCGTGCTTTCAGGGGCAAACACTGGGCCATTAGCATCCAGCTCAGTGCCAATCAACAATCGCATCCAAACAATTCAGCACAGCCTTTTAGAATGAGATACCGTGCCTCTCAGTTTCTGAAGCCGCAACCGTCCTGGAAATGAACACCAGGGTCAAAATGGTTCAGCATGGTGCACATGTTTGGAACCTTCCAAAGGACCCCTAGCACAGGGCAGGACAAATGGAGAAAAAGCAATCACATGCACTTGTATATCCTGCGGCTGAAACATGGAATCCAAGCGTTCACAGCGTTCACCGTTTACCGATCATTTTCTGCCAAGTGGGTCTATGACTGGACAACGACTCGGCATCAAACACTTGGCGCCCGGTATTCATTAGGGTCTATCTGCACAGAACGGAATGCTGCGCTGCTAGCTTTTGACAATAGCAAAAAGCCTGGCCTGTCACATGCATGAGCCAGCAGCGGAATATTCACACGGCCCTTGTTGAGAGTGGTCGCTGTGATTGCGACGTCTGACACAAGAATGGTCTGACCTCCCAAGCATGAATTCGAAGGGTTCGCGCTCGTAGGTGCGATACATGCTGGAATTAAGTAATTTGTTCAGGCACTTCGATGTGCAACAAACAAAAAACTCACAATTCAGGTCCAAGAACTTGCTACGATTGCTGACGTCTTGCCGATGATGAAATGATTTCTATGCAAGCCACTGTTATAGATTCCAGCATGTCAATCCCGCCATGTGGCAATGGTCGGGGGTGAAACACATTTGTCAGGCTGGCTCCGAAAAGACAAGCACAGGTTCAAACAAGGGTGCTCTTAATCCACCAATCACAGCTGACATTGCCCGAGCTTCAGGCAAGGTCAGAAGTGAAGGTTTGTTTTCAAGAAGCATCTTGCAAGGACAAGAGTCAATGAACATGCCAAAGCTACATTGGTCTACGCAACAACACGTGTCCGGGATCTTCAACGAGCTATCCCTCACAGGATTGCACAACCGCCAAACCTGAGGCTTGGTTATCTGGCTGCGTAGCGATTTTGGAGCATTTTGTCCGTCTTTCTCTCTCTCTTTCTCTCTCTTTCTCAAAAAAGTTACGACCTGCAAAACCCACCAAAGACCCAAAGACCGGACATCACCAAATATACCTATACGACAAGTAGCTACACCAAATACAAGAAAAACAGTAACAACAAAGTAAAGACCGAACAAAACAAAAAACAAAAAGGTGCAGCTGAGGCAGTTTCTTGTGTTGTTTTTGTTTGTTCCTCCATGCCGTGTTTTTTCTCTGTCTTCACTGGAAACGAATCATGAAAAAGTAAATGAAACAAAAACTCTGGAAAAAACAATTGCACTAGCATGGACGCCAGATGGCTTGTTGGAGCCTTCCTATACTTGAAGTAAGAACCCCAATAGCTCACGCTATCTGAGGAGGAAAGATTTCTGCGGGCAGCACCCTGCATTCGCATTGCACCCTGCAGCGCCCGCCAGCACCAGCACGCAAGCTCGCTAACGAAAACCCGCAGCTCTTCCTATACTGGAACAGCAGCGGCACCTTGCAGCGGCACCAGCACCCAGGCTCGAAAACGCACACACGCAGCTCTTCCTATGCTTGAACTAAGAACCCGAATAGCTCACGCTATCGGTTATTTGGTTGCATTTGTTCTGTCTATGCGTTTGTTCTGTCTGTGTGTTTTCTATGTGCAATTTTCTGTCTGTTTCTTTCTCCTTTCATCAACGTGTTCAGAATAAAAGGCTACTGGTCGATTTTGCCGTCAAAAAAGGTGGTGATGCTGCGAGCTTGCGCAAAAAGAACTTCATATAGCGATGGCCTCCAACCTAAAGGCGATGACCCCAACCTAACAGGATGGCCTCCAACCTAATAGCTTTTAAGAGCGATGGCCTCCAACCCATCCTAATAGCAATGGCCTCCGACCTAATAGCGAGGGCCTCCAACCTAA